GTTTCTTTAGATTGTTTTACCAAATAAATTTATATTCTGATTACTAAGTAATATAGTTATTGTAGGAACTTTAGAAAATACACAAAGACATAAAAATGAACTTCTGTTTCAAATAATGACCATCAATTTTAGATAGGCAATTAATTTTTTTTCTACCACAGACTGCATTAAAATAACAGGAAAGAGATTCTTTTTAAGTGCATTGACTCACAAGGATACAGAAAGCAAGAGAGGAGACAACAGCCACAATATTTTGGAAGCTGGAAGCAGATGGTCTTGTAACAGATTTAGCAGATGTGAGGAACAAACCCATTTACATGAAAGAATCTCCCAAATTCCCAGGAATCGCCGGCAACAGATATCATCTGGAAGGTGGAGTAAAAGGAAGCTGAAGTCATCTGTGTTGGTTGAAAGCTGTTTGAGAAGCACTTATCTCTGAGTCCTCTCCAAAGCCTTGGTGGACTGGAGATACTTGTCTTCTGGAGATGATGAAGAGAGAGACTCTTTACTAGGGGAAATAGACACAATTGAGTGAGTAAATAACATCCTCAGACCTCATGTCATCTTCCCATATACTGGCAGAAAGGCCCCTATTCTCCAGACGAAGCTGGAAGTGTCTTCTGGGAAGAGTCTCACAAGCACAGGTGACTTCTCTGCAGAAGTGGACCAGTGGGCTCGTCCAGTGGTGAGGGTATGATAAAGAGGCCTCCACTGTGCCTTCAGCCTCCACTCTGGTTTTGTTGTAGTGGCTGTTTGCCAGTCCTAGATATGAACAATTAAAGATATTTGAAGAAGAACTATAGATGAAAGAACCCCAAAAGAGATAATAAGGTGAGCTAAAAGATATAAATACTTTGTAAAAGAGAAAAACTGTTAAAAGGTTGTCATTCATGTATTTGGAGAGGTAAGGAAAGAAATTGCATCCACAAAAAAGCAGGGTGCTATTAAGAAAAGGAATATTTACAAAATGAAGAGCTTTTGTAAACTGAAAACATGATAGCAGAAATGAGAACTTCTACAGAAGAATCAGAAGGCAGAATTGAAGAAACTTCTCAGAAATTAGAGCAAAAGGGAAATTGATGAAAAAATACAATAATGTAAGCAGATTAGAGAACCATTCTAAGATGTCCATCATCCACATGATAAGCTAGAGAGAGAACAGAGAAAGTGGAGGAGAGGAATTAGGCAACAAAATTACCCAAAGCATTTCCCTAGAACTCACGAGCATAAGCTACAAATTGAAGGAACCCACTGAATTCCCAGCACGGTAGATCAAAACACACACCAAGACACCATCATTGTGAAATTTCAGAACATGGAGGGAGAAATTCCAGAATGGCAAAATCCAAAGCAACAAACAGGTCAAAATCAAGGAATCTGGAATTCTAATATCAGACTTCACAAAAGCAACACTGGAAACTAAAGCAGTGAGCATGATCTTCAAAATTCTGAGGGAAAATTATAACCCACCAAAATCCTCACCTCATCAAATGTTTTACTCAATGTGTGGGTACAGTAGTCATTTTTAGATAGCAAAACCATCAAAAATGTATTTCCCAGAAGCTACTTGATATGCCACACCAAAATGGAGTAAGCCAAGGAAAAAAGATGTGGGATCCAGGAAACAGGAGAGCCAGCAAAATAGAAAAACCAGGGAAATGAATGAATGGCCAGAATGGCAGTGGAATGAGTTCATAGGCAAACCAGGCAGTCAGTCCAGATGTGAGCAGGTGAGAAGGTTCTAGATGAGCTTTCTTCAGGAATGGTGGAGTTGATACAATTTATATCTTCCCTTCTTGCCTTCTTGAGAGGAGAGTTAGGCAATGGGTAGGTATTTGTGCATTGAATTGGTTATGAGTACACAGGACACTTAGGTGGAAAAACCCAAGGTATTTATCATTCCAGAGAAAACAAAATGTTGTGCAGGAAAGAAAAATTAACACATGTAGTTCTCCTCTGAATACTTTTACATCATTACGGTCATAGAAGCTGCATATTGATCCAACCAAATTTACTGTATAGCCATATATGGAGGATGGGGTGATGGGAAGATGGAAAGGGTTCATATGGGGTGGTGTGTGTGTGTTTGTGTGTGTATGTGTGTGTGTGTGCGTGCGTGTGTGTGCATGATGTTGACAGGAGGAAAGAGGGTCAAATCTTCATTCTCCACAGGAAAAAATTGATACATCATACTGAAGCAGAAAATTGAAAGGTAGTAATACAATCATGCCATTTAGCTCTTCAGTGTTAAAATCATCAGCTAAAAAATTTAAGGAGAAGAAAATTAGTGACAAGCGACAGATAGTTTCATAACATTTAAAAACTTTAAATCTTTATATGCCTGCATAATTTTGATACAAATAGAATTAGCAATTGCTACTGTCATTTTGCACTTTTTTATGCATGCACACACATTTTCTGAGCGCTTTGGGTCAGGTGATGGCTGGAGCTTAGGAATACAGAACAAATGAGACCAAGCATGACTTTATCCTATGAAAACTTTCTCTAAAACACTGAAAAGTAAACTTCTGGCACATTCTATGAAAATAATGGGCCATACTTCACATTTATGTTGCGGCATAGTATTGTAGTTTAATTTTCAGCTAGTGAGATGTTTTTAAAATCACCCAAAATTATTACTCCTAGTACTATGCTCAGCACATGTTATCTGCCATCATTACAGTCCCACACGTTCCCTAAGAAGTAGGTATTATCTGAGTCTCAGAAGGGGCAAGTAAGCTGCCTAAAATCTTACAGCAATTGGGTAGAAGAGGTGGGATTTGGACTAGGGTATCACCCTCATTCCAAATCCAAACTCCAGGTTGTGATTGATTGAAACTTTTTTTTTCAGTTAATCTAGTATTTGCAGTAAACAAGATCAAGTGTACATTTTTGAGACTGGGAAAGCTAATTTAAAGATTATCTTCAGAGAGCCTTGGCACAGGGAGGTGTCATTTCTTTGAAAATTATATAAGGAAGAAAATCTCAATAGCACAGGGTGTTGAGTTTCCTCTGTGAGGGAGATTTTAGCTGAGTGAGTGTGCAAATTCACCAGGAGATTCTTCTACACATAGGTAAATTACAGTTCATTCAGCATTTACCAAGAACCCCCTGAATCATGCCCTGAGAGTTTCAAAAATGAATAGGACACCAACATGTATGTGCATCTGTTGCACTGTGGATGTATGCTAAATATTGAAAGTGTTCTGCTTTGACTTGAGAGCTGACCTCATATGATTAGAATGACTGTGTATTTGCCACCCATCTTTCATTTGATGTTTTGGACCATGGCAGCTTGATATTTAGAAGGTTGGCTGTGTTCTTATAATGAAATTTCAAACTTCTAGACCAGCCTCTCCCGAATGAGTTCTGCAGTGCACTGGTCCTCCAAAATGCATGTTAAATCAGGAGGTGACTGTTCACATATATCTGGAGAATTCTGGATGTAATATTCTCCTTTTGGAGATTTGCAGTGGACATCAGCATATGAGAGCCTCTGAGATGGTTTTGAATTAAGGAACCATAGTTTAACAGAGTTGATACAATAGTTTTTTAACATGGATTCATTTTTTCAAACAGCTTGTAGTGTTTTATGGAACAGTTTGGGAAACACTGGACCCCAGGTTGTTTCCTTTTGCAGAAAATCCATGCATTGTCACCTGTAGGCCCCATTAAATCTGAATTGCTGTGATTTTCTAGTTTGATCATCAGTTTCATGTCACTTTCTTGAAAAGTGCTGAAAGAGTAAATTTTTAACTATGTGAGGTAATATACATGTTAATTGGCTTGATTTAGCCATTGCACAATGTGTATATATTTTAAAACATTTTGTTGACATGATAAATATCTACAATTTTATCTATCAATTTAAAAAAATGAAAAAATTTAAAAATACTTTATTGTGACTATCATATTGGAAATGTAGTTTGGTCCTGGTAGAGTGGGAGCAAATATATGTATATATATAGTTTGGAAATGTATAACCCAGCATTATAAATATTTTCTAATAAATTGTTCCAGATATTTTATATATGTATCTATGTTTATATGTATGCATATGTAGACATGTATGTGTATATCTATGTGTGTGCAGGTAAATCTATAGATACATATATACTATATATGAATAATTCTGAAATATTCCATTGTAATATAATTTATTAAGGAAAGGAGGCCATTTATTTTGTTGTTGTATTTTTTTCTATTTTCCAAAGGACATTGCCCAGAAGGAGGCCATTTAGTTTGTTGCCAATTTCTTTTTGCAGTGAATATCCTTATAGTAGGCTCTTTGTATGATTGGATAATTATATGTTTATTGTAAGTCCTTAGAAGAATAATTCCAGGTCAAAAAGCATATGCATTCTAAATTTTAATAGATATTTATTAGCTACCTTAGGCAACTAATGAGACAGCCAGTTTCTCACTGCCATTGCTGGAAATGCTAGTTCAACGTCAAAAAGTTCAGTATCATTGAACTAAAATCTTAGCTGATGTTGTTTTCCTATATGAGAAGCACATTATTTGTTATCTCAAAAAAGTACTATTGTCATATATATGTTCTGCATTATTTATCTATTTAATAGAATTGTAAGTCATTTGGGAATTAGGAGTAAGGGGTCAGTGTGCTCTTAAGTCACCATCCATCTGTGATTATTATACTTGAAATGATGACTGGAACTTAAAGCTTTGTTTTTATTTATTATTTGACATGATGTACCAATTTTTTGTTTGCAAAATAGGTCAAGCATTACTTATTTTAGCTGATAGTATTTATTTATGTGAAATTTTGCATTAATAGCTTCTGCCACAGAAATAAAATTATGGTAGACTTTGTGGAAAAATTGCAGAAATAACTAACTTGAGCATGAAGATATTTTTGAAATTTCCATGTTTTCTTATGAAATTTTTAGTTTTTACTATCTTTTATACTGTAAGAAGACTTTTCAGTCTGCTGTGGAAGAATATCAGTAACGTAACTGATTCATTCTTTTTGCCTAAAGGGGGAAGATAATGGTCCTATGGTGCCTGTGGATGAGAAAAGGAAACTTTTAAGCTGCAGCTTCAGTTTATCCTCAAAGCCTGCATTGTTTGTCTTCATCTAATCCAGCCTTGATGAACATCTATGATGGTTGACTATACACTTGCTGAAATGAAGTATTAGAAATGGCTGTATTTTCCAAAGAAACCCTATATTATATATCCACATTACTGCTGCTAGGATTCATATTTGCACATGCTGTTTATTGCTTATGTGTAGAAGGAATGAAACTAGTTTCCAGAGTTGTTATTAATATAAATATATATCATGTGTTAACATTGAGAAAGGAAAACACATTCCCAATGTTAGTAGTTCTTCATTTCCTGTTTCCAACAGAAAAATCACTCTTTAGAGACTAGTGTAATTCTTGATAATAAAAGAAGAGTTTTGATTAAGAACAGCATTGAGCTTCAAAATGCAAAGTGAATGATGAGAAAAATTATGTCTCATTTATTTTTTTCAGCACCCGTACCACAATTATTGTTAGGCTGGATTGCCATGGAAAACATTTTTGGCATTAATGCAGCAACAACATACTTTATTACTACATAGTTAAAGGATTTAACTGATTGTATGGTTCAAGTTATATTTATTTGACATATTCAAAGCTGTGGTTTCTAGGAATTTGAAAGATATGAGAAATAGGATAAAAAGAAGATCAGCACCATGTAGCAGGAATAGCTTTGCTGTCCATGAATAGAAATTTAGTGGTATCCTATATTACTTTAGTGTTGTACACTTTGTAAGACTTAAAGATATTTTATTCTGTTGATTCCTCTTCTTTGGTATGTTAAGACATTTCTTTCAAAAATGACCAACAAAATCCTTATTTTCGGTGCCACTAGCAAATGTAAGCAGCTACTTAGTTGCAGTTAGATGTGACAGAATGAAATAATTTATGTAAAGCAGTAGAGTGCCTGGCACAAAGCAATAATAAATGTTATTGTTGTTATCATTGTAAAATGAATGACTTCAATGATATAGTCCCTGTTTGGAGGGATTTTGTGATGCAGAATAAGTTATAGAAATAGAAGACAGGTGGAATAAGTATATGTTCAAGAGTTTTTAGATGTGTTGAGTAGAGGTGGTAATAATGGAAGCATTAAATACAGATGAAAATCACACCAGATATCCCTGAAATGGTAGCAAAGAAGGTTCATTGTCTAGTCTTGGGCAGTGAGAGAAAGGACTAGGGCTAGGCAGTGTGAGGAAAAGTGAGGGCTTGCTAAAGTTTGAGATCTATTGGCAGCCCTGGATCACATGGGGGCAGCACCAGGGAATGCCTCTGAAAGTGGAGAGAGGTCCTGGATACTTCCCTTGTGTATAATAGTTTCTAGTGTCCAACAGTGAGGAAATGGCAAAGCGTGGTTACAAAACTGTGACAAAAATATTTACATCTAGCAATGTTACCATTCATATGCCAAACATTGGCTGCACAGGAGTAGCCTTATTTTTAATTAACATCAAAAGACTAGATCTGAAGCCTTCCATGAAGGAGAGGCTATTCATACGGCATTCCTGGAACAAAACACTGCACAGGTCCCCAGCCTCTCCACTCCTGAGTGGGCTGGTGCTGAACAGTCAGGGATTGTTCTTGGACTAACCTTCTGATGCTTCTTGCAGTCTCCTTTCATCTTTCCCTGAAATATACACATAAACAAATATAATAACAAATAGTAATTAAATGACTTTCAGGATAACATCTAGTTGTTCAAATTTCACCCTTCACAGGTTTGTGTGTGTGGGTGTGAGAGTTTGTGTGTGTGTCTTTATGTTTGCATATTGAAGCAATTTGAATTTATTTACTGTATATTTTCTGAGTAAAAAAACTGAAATTACCTACTTGGTTCAGATCATGGTATTCATTGGTGAGACTGTGTGGAGGCTTAATATTCTATATATGGAAAATCCTTTCATTCCACAGCTAGTTACCTCAGATTCAGAATATGAATACTGTTTGTAGTATGCTTTTGTAGGAATGAATTTGAAAGGTAGTTTTGTCAGTAAACAAAAGTTCAACTAATCTCAAATCTGTTTTGATGGTGTGATAAGAAAGAAAAGTAAAACCTATGTGATGGACCCTGTAATTGGGGAAGGAGTCTCCCAAAAGGAAAAGCAGGGAATAATTAACAAATTTCATTGATCTTAAAATTTAATTTAGAGTGAAATGCTTTTTCATGTACTTTATACACATGTAAGTGCCTCTGATTCACGGTAACGAATATAGTACCTATGGTGTGTGAAGCAATACTGTTGTCAGAATGTTTGCCAATTAACATAATTCAAGTCTACTCTTTTTTTTTGGTTGGCCAGTTTAGCAAAGGGTTGTCAATTTTATTGACCTTTTCAAGGAACCAAAGTGGAATTTTGGGTTTTCTCTATTGTGTTTCTAATCTCTATGTCATTAATATCTTCTCTAATCTTATTATTTTGTAACTTCTGCTTGCTTTGTATTTAGTTTGTGTCCTTTCCAGTATCACAAGGTGGAAGGTTAGGTTATTGATCTGAATTTGGTTTTGAATAAAGGCATTAACTATTATAAATTTTCCTCTGAGCATTGCTTTAGCTGCATCTAATAAGTTTTGGTATGCCATGTTTTTGTTTTCATTCATTTCAAAGTATTCGAAAATACTTTGCCTTGTAATTACTTTTTGATGCAATGGTTATTTAGGAGTATATTGTTTAATTTCCACATATTTATGAATTCCCAAGTTTGTTACTGATTTGTAATTTTTTCTGTTGTGGTCAGAAAACACACTTTATATGATCTCAGTCTTAAATTTATTGAGGCTTGCTTTCTGGCTTAGCATGTGGTTTATCCTGCAGTATATTTCATGTGTACTTAAAAATATGTATTGTACTGTTGTTGGATTATGTGTGTTGTAGATGGCTGTTAGGTCTATAGTGCTGACAAATAGTGTTCAAGTCTTCCCTTTCCTTGTTGATCTGCCTGTTTCTGTGTATTATGAAAGTAGTGTATTGAATTCTCTGAATATTGTTGAATGATGTCTTCAATTCTGTCAGTTTTTTTCTACATTAACTTTGGGACTTTTGTCCTCCCATATCTCTGGTAACATTTTTAATTTTAATCTATTATGCTTTGTCAGAGATTAGTTTAGCTACTCCAGCTTCTTATAGTTGCTGTTTGTATGATGTATCTTTTTCCATCTTTTCATTTTCAACTTATTTATATTATTGAATCTAAAATGTATCTTCTGTAGACAGCTTATAGTTGGATCTTTTTGTTTTTTTGAAATCCAGCCTGACAGTCTCTCTGCCTGTTAATTGGGTGATTTAACCCATTTGCATTTAATGCTATTGTTGATGTAGTTGGATTTGTCTGCCATTTTACTTTTTGTTTCCTACGTGTCTTGTGTCTTTTTGTTGTTGTTCCTCTATTCCTCCTCTATTGCTTTCTTTTGAATTAAATGAATATGTTCTAGTATATTTCAATTGCTTTAATTATTTTTTTCACTTTTTTGAGTTTATTTTCTTAGTGGTTGCTAAAGTGCATATCATATACTTGTTAATTTATCAGAATATTTCAGATTTATAATAACTTTATTATATTGAGTTATGTAGTTACTAGTAAATAGCTCTGAACTCTCTTCTCCCTTTTTGTGCTATTGTTAAACATTTTATATACATGCTATAAGCCCAACAATACATTGTTATAATTTTTACTTTATATAATTGTATGTATATTAAAGAAGCAAGTGAAGAAAGGAGAACAAATTATAGAGTTTATTCTAGTAAGCTTTTAATTTACCATTTCTGGTTCTGTTCATTTTGTCCTATAAATTTGAGTTACTGTCTGGTGTCATTTCTTACTCCAGTACTTTTTTGTTCTTCTTCATCTCCTTTGTGTTGTCATTTCAAATATGTCACATTTGTATATATTTTGGGTCTATAGTGCAATTACATGATGTTTTATACAATTGCTCTTTAAATAAGTTGAGAGAAGGAGGAAATGTGTATTTATACTGTCTTTTATAATTACACAATTACATTTACTGGTGCCCTTTGTTTTTTTTTTTGGAATGGATTCAAATTAGTAGCTGGGGTCACTTGGCTCCAGTCAGAGGATACTTTTTAGTATATTTTTATATAAGGCAAATCTGATATGAACAAATCTTTAGTTTTTGTTTATATGGACTATCTTTATTTCACCTATATTTGAGATAATTTTGCTAAATATAAAACTCCTGGTTAAAAGTTCCTGTTTTTGTTTTTCCAGCATTTGGGCTATGACATTCAGGCTTAATGAAGTTTCCTATTCTAAGACAAATCCTTTTTCTGTTTCTGCTTTCAAAACAAATTTTTCCACCCAGAATTTGTATTATGATGTATCTGTGTGTTTGTGTTTATTCTGCTTGGAATTTGTTGAGTTCCTTGAGTATGTAGATGAATTTTTTTGTTTTTAGAAAAAACTAAATTTCAGATGTTTGAGGCATTATTTCCTTGAATATTCATTTCCACTTCTTTCTCTCTCTCCTTGTCTTCTGGTACTCCCATTATGCATATATTAATGCACTTAACAGAGTCTCATATTTCTCAGATATTCTGCTCATTTTTGCCCCATCTTACACCACCCCTCTGGGGCTTTTGTTGTTGTTTGATTGTTTATTTGTTCAGTGACCTGGCTGTACTATTTTAATTGAGTCTGTTACTCTTGCAGTGTGAACCCTATAATGTGGCTCCTCAAGAGAGCACTGCCTTGGGCATGTGCAGTCACTCTGGGATGACAGTGATCAGGGCTCTGTCTGTCTCTTTCCTTGATTTCTCTGCCTCTTTGCTTCCGCTGATATTACACCTACCTGTTAGGTTTCACCAGTTGTTAGCTAATTATTGTTTTTGTTAATGCCTTGGGACATGAATCACCGCACAACTGATTCAGTAATACTTTCGCTTTTCTGCAGTATTAGTTTTGAGACTAATCTTTAAGGCTTATTCTGACCCTAGGGGGATTCTTTTAAGGTGTAACTTTCCTTGATTATCTCTGATAAACTACCTGGCCTGCAGTTTAACTTGTTGCTCTTACAGCTGATAGCCTCTTCTTAGTTACTTGCCTCCGAAATCCTCACTGTTTTCCAGAGCACCCATGGACTTAAACGTTCCATACTCTATTACTAATAAAGTCAGCTCTTTTGGATAGAGCTTTGGTGCTCTTTTTTATTGTCTGCCTCTTATCCTTGGCAGAATCTTTGAGCCACCCCTTGAGAGATGTGGTTGGAATAGTGGCTTGCTTCTCATGGAGTGACATTACTCTCTGCAAATAGGGCTCTGAGTATCTACCACCTTGGATCTTAATAGTTTGCCTCTCCCAGTATGGATCCTCCACCGTATGGGTTAGTCAGGGTCAGGGTGATCAAGGTCCCAATATTCTTGGCCTGCTCTGCAAAGTCACTCTGGGATGAGGGTAAGCTAAGGATTCTCTTTGTCTCTGTCGTTGATTTCTCTGCTGAGCTCTTTGCTTCCATTGGTATTACTTCTCAGGTTCCACTAATTGCTAGCTAATTGTTTTTGGCCATGTTTTGAGACATAAATTGCCCACATCTGATTCAATTATATTTGGGTCCTTTTGCAGGATTGGACCTAGAACTTCTGCTTTGTTAGTGGGGACTGGGTAAAGGAAAGGGGCTTATGACCTCTTGCTCATAGCCCCAGGAGATTTAGCCTCTGCAACCTATTAATATCCCTTGACTGGGAGCTGAGGGAAGAGGGAATCCCATCTTCTTGGTCATACTTCCTAAAAAGTAGAATTTTAATCATGCTTAAGCTGGGGTAGAAGAAGGAAGGCAGTGAATTTGGGGCTCAAATTTCAAATCAAATATTCTCAATCTTCCTGCTGAGATTTAGTAGATTTTCTTGAATAAATGTTTCTCCATTTGCTGTATACCCTTAGGAAAGTTTTCATACACTTTTTTTTTTTTTTTTAAATTTCTGTGAGTTAAGTTTTTTTTCACTGGGGAGCAAGACTGTGGAGATCTTCACACAGCTATCCTGGATGTAATTTTCTGTCATTTAAGATAGTACATTACTCAAAATGTCAGGCTCTTAGTCCTTTTTTGGAATTTTCTGTTGAGTAAACATATTTCTCAAAATTTTGTATCATATCATTATAATTAAGGGTGGGCTCATAGCTTAAAGTTTAAAAGGGAATGTTTCTTAATATGAAAATGAAGTTGACATAACCTAATATTAGTCATCAACTTACTGAGTTAATTACTCTAAAACTTTATTTCTATATTATAACTAATTAAAAATGATTAATTAGAATGTGCCAATTAATGATTTTTAAATCTTCACAAACAACTCCAAGATGGCATAGGTATAAATAGACACACAGAAAAACCTCATTTTCTTTATAATGCTGTCCACTTATTTCTGTTAAAACATGTTAATATAGCAAATATTGATTGATGAAAAGCAGGCTATTAAATATAGTTTATAATCTTGGGTCATAAAGTATTATGAAGAAGGTGATGCATTATCCACCAATGACGTAATGCAGACCTAAGGATATGTACAAGGAAATAGTCTTTCCTTTTTTTTTTTATGTTTCCTTCCTTTGTATGGAGCTGTTTTCCTGTAGTACATTTGTGTGAAACTCTTAACCTGGCACTCACTGAGGATGTGAGGTGGTGAGATGTGATTGACCCTTCAAACATTTTTAGGAAACAAAAACAAAGAAGCAAAGGTTTTAATTGGAAATCTTGTGCTATGTCAGATTTAGATCATGTTTTAATAAAGCATACTAGCAGTTTTGTACCACTTCAGATTATACAGGAATGCCCATTTAGAAAGGATGTTATTGAATTTGAAGAAACTTTTCCATTTCTGAAACTCGAGTGGAGCCTGTGATAGAGCTTTTTCCTGCACTGGAACAGTGGCTGTAGTGAGTTGGTAGAACTTAAGAAAATTCTTACAGCTACTTCAAAGATCTAGACCAGCTTGTTTTACACTCTTTGGATCTGATTCATTTCCAGGTTAACTGTACTGCCATTCCTTTGATGGACTTTAATTGTTTTCAAATTATACTGGAATTCAGTCAGCCTCAATGGGAATTTTCCTGTGAAAGTATATTAGAATCTGGCCCAAAGGGACTTCTCAAAAATGCAGATCGAAGTCTATACATTGCATGAAAACATTTTATCTTTTATAACATGAAGATACTTCTTTATGGCATATAGGAAATCTATTGTATTATTATAGCACAAAATTGGGATGAAAGCTGACCCCTTGCAATTTTAGTCATATTAAATAAATTTTCTTTTAAATGCTTTTTGAACAAATCTCAATTTAATGAAATAATCTATTAATATAAAACCATAATATACATGATTTCTTTTTCATTTTTCTGCTTACTTATGGAAATTATCTTCATATGAAATATTTCCAGATACTCAAGAATAATATTCAGAACTCTATTTAAAAAAAATTACACTCAAGTCCAGTGAAGTCTTTTATGATGGTTTTGCAGAAAGGGAACTGCCTCCATCTTTAGGAGTAGTTGTGTAGTCAGTAGTCGTGATGGCCAAGCTCAGCCCCATACAAACTTGGAAACAGGAAGAAGTTTAAGAAAAACAGGGAGGAAGCAAGTATGAAGCCTGTAATTCCAAAGATTATTTTCTAAGTCCACAGAAAGGAAATGTGAGCACAGTTCTTGTGGGTAAATTGGTCTTCCCAGGAAGAGGAATTAATGCTTCTAGTGTACAAGGAGATTGTTTTCTCTTTTTTTGAATTTTTATTTTTAGAATTGGTATGTTGCTTTGTCTCCCACACTGCAGTGTAGTGGTACAGTCATAGCTCCTGGAAGCCTGGGTTCAAGAGATCCTTCACCTCAGCTTCCCAAGCGGCTGGGGCTATAGGCATGTGTTACCACACCTGGCTACAGTTTTAAAGTTTTTTTTTAGGAACAGGGTCTTGCTATGTTGCCCAGACTGGTCTTGAACTCCTGGCCTCAAGTAACCTTCCCTCTCCAGTCTTCCAAATTGCTGGGATTACAGGTGTGAGCCACCACCCCTGGCTGGCTTTCTCATATATACAAGTATAAGGTAATGTCCTAAGTGGCACTCTGCTGGAAAAACAAGTAGCAGGTGAGCAGTTAACTCCAAGGAACAGTACATCTCACCTGCATTAGAACTGTTATTACTGGTAGTGCTTGCAAAAAATTATGTATTTGAAACATTTCATGGATATTGATTACACTTGTCATTTCTCAATGCAGTTCCGACCCTCTGGCTCCAGCCTTGTGTTCCTCTGTTATCGCAGCCTCCCTGAGAAAACTATTAAGTCCTTTGCGAACACATCTTTGGCAAGACAATACATATTTTTAGTACCACCCTCAGAGGCCTTATTTATGTTTACCATCACATGCATTTGTATTTGTCAAATACATGCTTATTATTGAATTATTACACTGTAGAAATGAGTTCAAAGGAGATAGACAATGTTTGAGCCAGATTTTTTTTTTCTTTCTAACTTATCTTTTAAAAACTGGCCAGATAAGATGACAGAATTGATATCTGGGTTTCTTCAACTTTTAAGTTCGAGGGTATGTTTGCAGGAAGTGCAGGTTTGTTGCATAGGTAAATGTGTGCCATGGTGGTTTGCTGCACAGACTATGGCATCACCTAGTTATGAAGCCCCACATCCATTAGCTTTTCTTCCTGATGTTCTCCCCATGTGCCCACAGGCCCCAGGGTGTGGTGTTCCCCACTCTTGTGTCCATGTGTTCTCATCATTTAGCTCCCATTTGTAAGTAAGAACATGTGGTGTTTGGTTTTCCATTCTGTGTGTGTTTGCTGAGGATAATGGCTTCTGACTCCATCTGTGTCCCTGCAAAGGACACGATCTTATTCCTTTTTATGACTGATTAGTATTCTGTGGTGTATATGTACCACATTTTCTTTATCCAGTCTATCATTGATGGACATTTAGGTTGATTCTGTGTCTTTGCTATTGTGAATAGTGCTGCAATGAACATGCATACATGTATGTGTATCTTTAT